GGCGGGTGCGTACCTGTGCATCCAGGATGAGAGCTGCGGAGCCATTGAGGCTTAACTTGATCTTTCCAAATCCCCTTAGCAAGTATAACACCATATCTGGGAGGTTTAAAAGGGAGCTGGGAAGGTGGGAGAGATGCTTTGAGAGCTGGCAAGGGAGAGAGGCACTTGTGAAACAGCTTCTCTGATGGCTGTCCAACTTCTCCTGACGTTTTTATAGGGTTACCCTTCAGGATTGATAGCAAGTGCATAGCCGAGCCTGGCTTACAGTGCAGGCAAAGCCACTCCCTTGGCTCCCTCCCAGCGCCTGGCCACGGGAAGAGCCCTGCTTCCCTTCACCGAACTGCCTCCCCTCTCCCTCCCAAGCCTTTTCCTTTCACCGCGTGCCATGTCCTCGGCACCACCTCTGCAGCCCCAGTCCCGGAGCTGAGACCCGTCAGTCAGCATCTCCTTGCCGCAGAGCAGACGTGGCCGCTCAGCCTGGGGCAGCTCCCCAGAGCCAGGTGCCACGCTGGGGTCACCAGCATGGGAGATTGGGGGGGGGGGGGGGGGGGGGGGCTATCCCACCCAATAAAGCCCTGCCTTCTGGAGGTGAAACCCCCAGGGATAGGGAGCTTGGCTGTGAGGTGGTTTGTGGCAGACCCAGGCAGGCCCTGCTCACCCTTTAAATGGTGTCTAAGCCCTGGCAGTGGGGAGGGCAATCTGGTTTAATCCCTCACAACCCTCACAAAGCTGCTTTCCACAACTGCAGCAATACAAACCAACCCTGAGTGCATGGCAATGAAGGCCATGTGTTCAGCGGCAAGGAAGGGAAATAAATGCCTTGCGTCATTTGGGCTTTTTTTTCCTTCTCTGTTTCTTACATAAATTGAGGCAGAAATTGATTTTATATTTGAGGAATGTTCCTCAGCACAAAGCTGAGGTTGAAAGTCCCCAAACTAATCCCAAATTGTTAATTCCAAACACCATTTCTGGCTCTTCAGAATCACAGTTTTATTATGTTAATCATGAGCAGGAGCCCAGGGCAGTTATTGTTTTTCTTTCTTCTTTTCTTTCTTTCTTTTGTTAATGAACGATAGAGCGGAGGGCTGGCAGGGAGAGCAGTTTGGCAGAGGCTGCCCCTGCAGTCCCCTCACACCCCACCGCCTCACACCCTGTGGGCCCCGCGTACTCGGGACCAGCCTGGCGTCGGCGTTGGTGTGCCAGCGGCACTGCAGCTGCCCTGGGCTGTCCTCTTGCCAGATGCAGCAATAAACCCAGGTTTGTGCCCTCCGGCCTGAAAAGCTATGTGCCATCCTCCCCTCCCACATGAAACCCAGCTCTCCCCAGTGGCAGGGGTAGCTCCCTGTCGATGTAGGACCAGTGGCTGAGCCATGGCCTTTCCCAAATGTAGGCAGGGTTTCCTCTCCCTGAGGCTCTCTCCTTTCATTGCCTAGCCCTCTGTTTGTGATGCTGGCTAACTTTTTTGGTGGCTTGGCTCCGGATTCTCATTTCCAGCAGTGAAGTGGGACTACAGGCCCATATGTTCCTATGTGTCCTTGTGAAAATTCAGCTTGGCTCAATCCGCTCTGACTGGATTTGTAGGAGCTGAGAGCAGCCCTAGTGGGATTTTTTTCTTTTGCCCCCTAAAAACATGGCTCACTTTGAAGATATTGCCCACAGTGACCCACACCATGCTGCTCTCCTCTGATTCCTGCCCCTGCGGCCACCTCTTGTGTCTGCACCCTTTGGCAGAGGCTGTCACCAGCCTTTGCTCTGCATCCCCCCAGCTTGAGTGCCTGAGCCAGACAATGCATGAGGAGGTTGGGGCAGAGCAGAGCTCTTGGGATGGGACACTGCTGAAACTTCGGGCAGTCTTTTGAACTGCAAAAATACTGCTATTAGTCATTTCTGATTCTCCCTTTTTTCCCCTTTTGCCCTGAAACCCTTCTAGTTTCTTCAAGAGAAATCACTCCAATTCCGGAAAGGTGTTTTCTGACCCTGCAGAGCACTTTACAGCTTGTGGCACTTAAAAATCATTGTTACACAGAAAGGCTCAGCTTTATGGGCAGCTCTCCAGGGTTCGATCCCTGGCGGTGCTCTTTGGCTTTAACTCCTGCCTTGCCAAAGGTCCCTCCTGCTGCTCAGTCTGCTTTATCCCTGCTACTGCTCCCTGAGGAGCCACCAGCAGGCCTGCCTGCAGCCTGCATGGTCCCTCCACACCTCCCAGCACAGGCACACTCATGCTGTCCCAACCTTCATCAAAAGCTTGCACTGGGGCCAGCACCCCGGCAGGACGCTGCGGCAAGGGAGATGCTCGGGAGGGAAGGACCTGGAGTGTCATGGCCTGGGCACATGGACAGCCTCCTCTTGCTCTCCTTGGGGAAGAAAAGGGCACTTTCCCCCCTGTCTCTCATGGATTTTTGAAGAAAGCAGTATGTTTGGGTGCCAGAGTTTGGCTGGGGGCAACCAGGAGAGTTGCTCTGCTTGGCCAGGGTGCCCCGGGGCCATGCTGGAACTGCTGACACAAGTTCTGCCAGCCTCAGACACTCCCCAGGCAACAGTAGGGAAATACAGCCTTTGCCTCTGGACTGTTTGGGCCTGGATTTTTACTTTTAAGAGCCCTGGATCTGTCCTTTAAGTAGGGGCCTGGCTGTCACATGCTGTGGGCCACCTTCAAAGCAGCACTGAGTATTTAGCACTCAGGAGCTACCACAGTGTTTAAAATCCAGCGATTCAGGCAGCCAACCACCCAGCAGTGCCAAGCCCTGCCTTTGCACCGCCAGCAGGATGGGATGGCCTGACACGGTCCCTGTGCCATGTCCATGCCTATCTGCAACTACCACCACCATCCCCTCAGCCCTGGGAGGGAAGCAGAGACGTGGCAGCCAGTGACCCCCAATGTGAGCTCACGTGGAAGGGCAGCGAGGCAGTGACAACACCACTCACGGGTCAGCAGGGAAGGCTGAGCTGAAGAGCAGAGCTCACCCCCCTCTGCCCAGGAATTAGCTTCGTGCTGAGCCATTTCTATCAATGACAAATTTGGAACAGGCGTCACAAAGTCCGCAATAAAAGGGAGCTAGGCAGAAAAGGAGAAAGCAGGAGAGTCCAGGACCAGTTTGTGTTTCTGAGTTTCTTTCTTTCTTCTTTTTCCTTCCTCCCTTTGGCACAGGGTGGCTGTTATTCCCCTCTCTTTCCCCAAACCTTCACCCCCCTCCCTCTATCCCCCTGCCTTCATCCCGAATGATCTCTGTGGCAACCCACAAACAAAGACAACTTCAGTGACTGCTTGCTCTGTCCCAGGGGAAGCTGAGTCGGCTCTGCCAAGCTGGACAGAAAACCTGAGTGGTGGAAAGAAAGGAAGAAAGATGGGCTTAGAAAAACATGCCATTTGGAAAGAGACAAATTGAGATTTCAAAAGAAGATGGCAGGGGCAAAGAAAGGAAGAGAACTGGGCTGCTTCGAGCAATTGTTGGGATCAAAGCCTTTGGGGAGAAGGAAAGAGGCATTCCAGGCCTGCCTTCACTCTGCTTGAGATGCAAATTTGGGGCCTTTAGAAATGCATAGGAAAAAAAAAAAAAATCTTGAGGACATGAGCCTTTCCCTGGGGGCGGAGGCCAGGAGCCTGAGGGAAGTCAGGCAGAGATGCTGCAGGCCCAGGGATGCTGTGTGCCCACAGAGGGCAGCATGGTGACCTTTTCTGCCATCCTCACAGTCAGTGTGAGCAGGGTGATGCTCAGGCAGCTGAGAGTGACATGTATTGCAGGAGAGCCTCTTTCCTGCCCGCCTGCTCCTCCAGGGCCCAGAGTCACCTTCTCCAGCTTTGGTACCCTAATGAAGAGTGGATCTTTGGAGGGCTTACCCCAAAGGAGAAGTTCCTTGCTCCCCTGGGCCCCGAGGACTGAACTGCCCTTGAAGAGTACGAGCCTGAGGGTGGCCATGCCTCTCACCTCAGCACCTTATCTGAGTGACTTGAGATGTGTTTATACCTAACCCCTTGCCTTTGGTCTGGATTCAGACCTTCCTTTGGGTCTCTTGCCCAGAGAGTTGACGGTAGAGTTGATGCTCAGTCCTCTGTTTCCTTCATCTCCCATGTTTGCAGGATTGCATCTTTCCTTTTGACTCTCCCTTGTGTGATCTCCCTCTTGGTCTCCACTGCCTAACCAGTCCAGAGTGAGACCCCTCAGACACCTGCAGCCCTCACCATGGAGGGCATCCCCCATAAGCACCCTACTTCTTGGGTCAAACTACCCTTTGGACTGTGACACCATTCAAAACCATTGTGCTACTTTGGAGTGAGTTTGGCACAATAGACTTTCCAGCTCCATGGGATTTCCTTACATCCAGCCTGTAGGGCCTGCAGTAAACCAGAAAAAAGGAGTGAATTTATCAGAGTGAGACAGCAGTGCTGGGGATGTGGGTCCTGCTCGCTCTCAGCTCCTGGAGTACCAACCACCCTCTGTCATCCTGGAGGTGGAGCAAGCAGGGCACTTCTTGCCTCTACAGGAGCATTTACCTGCATTTCTCCCAATCCATCTCCTTCTGAGTCCCAAAGAAGGATCCTCAGGCTCTCTCTGCCATTCTTGTTGTGATTTATCCAGCAAACTCCCTAGGAGACCATTATGACCTGCTCAGTACAGGCCACAGGACACAGCCTGCTTGACGAGCCCAAAACTGCTACTACTTAAGTTTCTCTTCCCAGCTGCTGAGGCTTTACTATTAGTGCTGCAGTTTGAGTGTTCACAGCAGGGCCAACCCACAATTAATGTGAGCTGCCAGGGCTCAGCTGAAGTCAAAGGAACTGCATCAATTAATAACAGTTAAGGTTTTGTCTCAGAAGCCTCCTGGAGGACATTTGAATTTGGTGTATATACCATCTTCTGCAGGAGCTGGGTTTTCCTGGTTTCTCCTCCACCATATGTACCCACCCCATCTTCCCCTTCCCCTTCTGGTTGGGACAAGATTGCACTTACTATGCTTGCTTCAAATCATTCAGGACTCAACCCTTTCTTCCTTCTCTACAGACTGTGACTCGTACTGCAAACCAGCCAAAGGCAACTACAAGATTAATATGAAAAAGTACTGCAAAAAGGACTATGGTAAGGACCTTCTTCCTCACTAGATCAAGCTCAGCTTTGCTGAGGCGGGAGCTCCAGGGCCAATGGCCAGCTTCAGTCTGACTGTGGCTGGGTGAGATGAAGGTCCCCGTGGGCACATACCTCTGGCCATGGGCAGCTCCCATGGCCAGGTGAGCACTCTGGGACCCTTCAGCTCCCTGCCCCAAACACAGGCCCAGTCTTCTGGCATTCTCCGATGACCTTCCATGTTCACAGTGGCCTCAACTCGATTCCCCATGCGCTCAGGGCTGTAGTGCCCCCAGGACAGTGCTTCTGCCCCCGGTCAGTGCCCCATGTTGGGAACGACAGTGCTTCTCTTCAGGGGGCCTGAATGGGAGGCCAAGGCCCCCTGCAAAGGGATCATGCTCTAGAGATCTGGTCTGCCTGTGCTGGCAAGGTGGTGGGTCCTCCATTCCCAGGAGATGCCAGGAAATGCCTTTTCCATGCTGCAGGGGTACCAGATTTCCCAGCCACATGGAGCTTACCAAAAGAAGAGTTAGCCCTGCCAGGTCCCCCTCTACTGCCAGGCCCACCTCTGCTTGCAGGCTGCTTGCAGATGGAGGTGCCAAGGGCAGCTAGGGCATCACTGTCCTCGCTGTGCTAGCCCTCCACCGTCAGGAGGGAATGGCTCTTCCCAGGGCTGTGGCAGTCCCTTCCACCAGCACAAAGTTCAGGGAAAAAAAAATCTTAAACAAAAAAAAACCAACAAAAACAAAATGAAGATCTTGCATCCTCTCCCCTTCTCCATCTTTTTCCTTACCTGCCCAATATGTTAACAATGAATATCTTCTTCATATGGCTGTTTTCTGGAAGGTCCAAAAAGCATATATCAATCGCTTACCACTGAGACTGGGGCTCAGGTGATAGCACTTGTTTGTTGTGATTTACCCTGATACAAGAGCATTGTGGAGCATTGTGAAGTTTCCCACAACTGGTGGAAGGGTTGCAATTTGTCTTCCACAGGAACCATCCACTCTGACAGAGAAGATGGTTCGGGGCAAGGGAGCAGAAGAAAAGGGCTGCCTCTGAGTAGGGTCCCAGAGGGGAGAGGAGGAGGTGTCTGGAAGGAGTACGAATGCTGGAGTGAGAAGGGTACAGTTCTCCAAAATATTTGCCCTCTGTTCAGCCAGGACCACTTTGGTTTCTCCATGCTCCTGGTGGGAGGGCACCCCACGGCTTGTGCGGACCATGCCCCTTCATGCTGCCTTCTTCCCCAGCCGTTCTGGAAGCTGGGCAGTGTGGGACAAGGAACATTTGGAGTAGGGAGGAAAGCCGCTCTCAGGGTGTTCAGCACCCAGCATAGCTTGAACAGAAGAACATTTGTTCTCATCAAAAATCTCCTTTTAGCCCTCCTCTCAACCCAAAAATAAAATATTTGAAAAAAAAAATGTCTGCTTCCTAAGGATATGGTGAGGAGCAATGATCCCAGCTCTCTGAATAAGCCTTTCCAGAAGGTGCAGTGGAGCAAGACAGATGAGGCTTTTAAGGGATCAACAGTTCTCATCCTGGAGCAGGAACAATCATGTACATGATGAGCCAAGGCAATCTATCTGTCACCAGAACTTCCTCGAGGGAGCAAGGCAAAGCATCTTCCCATCAGCTGCACCCTCAGTCATTGTATCTCTCTCTCTTTCTTTTCCCTTAGTGGTCCAAGTGAACATCTTAGAAATGGAGACGGTGGCCAACTGGGCCAAGTTCACCATAAATATCCTCTCTGTCTACAAGTGTCGTGACGAGCGGGTCAAGCGCGGTGACAACTTCCTGTGGATTCACATGAAAGACCTGTCCTGCAAGTGTCCCAAGATCCAGATCAGCAAGAAGTACTTGGTCATGGGGATCAGTGAAAACTCCACTGATCGGCCAGGACTGATGGCCGATAAGAACAGCCTGGTCATTCAGTGGAGGGATGCTTGGACTCGTCGTCTTCGGAAATTGCAACGGCGGGAGAAGAAAGGAAAGTGTGTGAAACCATGAGGAGTTTCACATCTGTCCCTTACCTAAGCCCCCAACCCTGCCTGTGCGCGCTGCCTAGACTGCTCCCAGAGACTCTGTATATACACATAGTATGAACGGACTCTTCTGTCTATAGTGTATATTTTGGCAATGATATTCCTTGTGTGTGTGTGTATGTGTGTGTGTGTGTGTGTGTGTGCACATTTGAGTGTGTGTTTGGGTCTTTTTCTATTAATATGTATTAAAAATAACGCAGTAACGACAAACCTTTAATGAGGAGCAAAATGGAGAGAGATCCTCTTGGTGCCTGTTGCCTGAAGGAGCTCTAAGGGGGTTGGTTTCCTTCTCCAGGTATGCTGTTCATAGCTTTCATTTTCTAGTCTTCTTTTGCCCTTCAACAAAATCTTTTTCTGCCCAGTGTTGATGTCTGAGTTGACAGCTCTCCATTTCCAGCATCCAGGGCCTGCCTCTTTGATACTCTCTGAAAGTGGGCTGTCTTTAGTTCTCTATGCCCTTTTTTCTTGCCCAATAGAAATATGAGGTCAGTTTCTTCTCTTCATCCCAGTATACATGTGGACTAGCTCAATGGAAGCCATCCAGTAGTGGAGAGATATCAGCCCCAGGAGCTCCACTAGGAAGAACCAAATGAACTTTTGCAAAACCTGATTCACTGGTGACCTCAGCTTTACATGGACCCAGTGCCCTAGCCTGGGGTAGAACCACTGTGCTGGTGGAAGGATCATGGTGAGGAGTCCGGCCCTGGCAGCCAAGTTGGTGACCACTGGCAAGCAGAGATGAGTTCCCCAAGGAGACAGGAGTGGACTCCACAACCCCCCTGGCCATTACTGTACCCACATGTGTACCCACATGATCCAACAGGAAAGACCTGGAGACACCCTTTTTCTCCTCACATCTGCATAAAGGCTAAAGCCTGCCCTGCCAGTACCCAGAACCTGGGGTAGAGTGGAGATGGTGACCTAAGCAATCTTGTATTATCTTGCATGTATGTAGGCCTACATACTCAGCTGGGACTGACTCGCATAACTCCATTGATTTCTGTTGAGTTGATACCCAGTGACTGTACGGTTGCTGTGCATCATTCAGAGCTGGCCTGCCTCCATGCATTCCTGGAAAGTATTGCTGTGGCCAGGGTTGCCTTAGGACGTACAAAAGGCAGAGCTGGCAGGAAGAGAGAAGAATTTTCATTGGTCAGCCTGTGTAGGCATTTTCTTTTATTTCTTCTTCGTAGTGTATTAGCCTCCAGTTCAAACAGACAACATCAGTATCTTCCCATGTTGAGGTAGTGGCAAAATAAATATGAGCAGAAATAAGAGTTGATCTGACGAAAGATATTCCTTCCCCTACAAAACTTGCCTTTCTTTCTTAGAACATCGAATGGCTTGGCAAGGTATTGTAGCCTACCCTGCAGTCTTCTGGTTCCTTAGGATGATGGCTTTGCCCTTTGAGCCAATGACAGCCCGCACAGACTCCCCATCCCATCGGTGGCCTGGTGCTTCTAGGCCCAGGCTGGTGGGGTTAGGTTGTGCTGTAGCTTGCAATTGAAGAGACTGGCAGAGTACTGTGGTGATTCAGGACAGGGGATTTGGGGCAGTGAGGATCTAGGCACAGGAGGATGTCTGTGTGGACATGCAGATGTCCCAGTCTGGGAATTAAGTGTGTTGGTGGAGTTGCTTGAGGTGCTGGAAGTGGCTTCTCAGAGAGTCATGAAGCCGAGAGTGCCACCTATCAGGCCCCATGAATGCTGGAGTGCTTTCATAGGGCCTGGGAAGAGCTGGGGGAAGGCCAGAGGCAGAGCAGCAAAAGGTGTGTGGGACTGAGGACTGAGATGGTTTGGATGAGTTGGTCCTATGCCATGCTCCTGGCAGAGAGCCTCCTTCCCTGTTTCAGTTGACCTGAGGGGACTGATACTTCTTGTTCTGGTTGTGATGGGCCATCAGCCTCTGCCACAAGATGGCCCTTGAACCACGTGGGCCATCCATCTTTCCTCTTCCTCCCACTGCTACTTGCACCTAGGAGTCCTAGAATCAGTGCTGCTGGCATTGCCCTGAGCTCACTTGCTGTCCAGTGTACCCAGCAATTGTCACTCAGAAGTCAGTGGCAAAATAGTCTTCAGTTGGTGGATAATGTGAAGCAAGGTGCCTGCCCCACCTCAGGCATAAACAGAATTCCCATTAGGGTCATGTGCATGGCCTCAGTGCTGGGGGGGGGGCTGCTCGGTATTACCTCGCTGGGTGCTAGTGTTTCACCAGCTCTTCTCAGTGACTGAAGCCCAAGGAAGAGCAGAAGTGGCACTACTCCTCTACAGACACAGACACTCAGAGGGCAGGGTTGCAGAAGCACATGCTTTCTCCAAGCAAATAGAGCCTTTGGGAGAGACATAAAGTATCTGTGCTCCCCGAACAGCACTCTGCACAGCTTACTAGGGCAAGAGGCTCCCAGGTTCCTCTGGCACCTGGTTCCTCTTCACTTGGAAGCTTGGTACCTAAAACACTTTGAGGACTTAGGTGTTAGTGGTTGGTGTACTTGATTTCACAGAATCACAGAACGGTTAAGGTTGGAAAGGACCAAAAAATTCATCTAGTCCAACTGGGATTTATCCTCCTCTCTTGTTTCCAGCTCTGCTGCCTCGAGCTAGGAGTGAGGATAAAGAGCGATGTCTCCCAGCTGGTGTCTTTTAGTACAAATGCTTGTCCTGCTGAGATGTGTGTCTCAATACCAGCACTGAGATCAGAGACACCCAGAGAGGACCACCAAGTACCCTGTGGGCTGCCACTGCGAAGAGAAGCTTCCCCTCTTTGGCTGAAGAAAGTCCTCAAGATCCTGGCCAAAGGACTGGAACAGGCCACCTTAGTTAAAGCTGTTGCCTGGAAGATGTTTTCCTGCCTTTCCTCTGCTTGTGTCACTCCAAAAGCCAAAGCAAGAATTCACCTTATTTTTATCTCTTACTTTGACCTGGTGGACTGACTCATGAGCTCTTCCCACCAGGTTAGTTCACAGGAAACTGCTCCCGTTGTCCATGAAAGGGCACCAGCCTTTCCCTGGTGCAGCTGGCTGGAAATTCCATGTGGGGACATTAATCTGCCTCTGGGACACCTGGGCTGGGTTGCTGCAGAGCTGTGCTGAGGGTGGAAAAAGCAGTGACGTGAGCATCCCATGGATGTGCAGAAGCACTGCTGGCCCTCTCTGCAGCTCAGGGCAGGGCTGCTGCCAAGGCCCTCTCAACACAGACACAACAGCAGGCAGAATTCAGGGAGCTGCAAAACTATGGGCTGCTTTTCCCTTTGTGACATCTCCACAGGCAATGCTACCAGGAGTTGCTGACTGACTCTCACAGCCATCCTTTTCCATGCCCCATTTGCCATTTGAGCAGCTCTCTGGTGAAAAGCAGTGCTTTTGTGGCCAGGGTTCGCAACATATAGCCTAGCATCTCATCCCACCTGTGTGCTTGCTTTGCACTGGCCCCTGTGCCTGAGCAAATCAGCACTGCTGTAACTATCTTCTGTCGGCATTAAACTGAAGCCGGGTACCAAATGCAACTGAAGCCATCCCCAGATCCAGGAGGGACAAAACCAGTCAGGGAGTCCAGCCTGAAAAGCCATGCCTTAAGCCTGTTGCACATGTAGGCTCAGTAAGTGTCTTGGGAGAAGCAATGCTTTCCAGGGGATTTACATATGCAGCTGCTCAAAGATGCATATTTAAACACCCCCCCACACACAGCCACATGCCTTTTGTCTTCTTTTTCTGTTTGCTTTATAATTAAATGTATGATCAGATGGGGCAGATGCAGGATGCTGGTGGAAGCCTTTGTGAGGCCCCTGTGTGTCCCTGCAGATCAGGAGAGTGGGCTCCACTGTGCTCTCAGGGCTACCCAAGGCCTGGCTGCTGTGACCTGTGTCATGTAAATATCACCCCAAGGGTGCCCATGCAGAGGCACCAGGGCCCTGCAATGTGGAGGCCATGGGAAGCCTCTGTGAAATCCTTGTTGAATATGTAAAAAGAAAAGCCAGCGAATGTTATGGACCATAATGTAACATATATAAAATACATATGTTTTGGGTTGTATTATTATTTTATTATTATTATTTTTAATAACACAAGTCTAATAAGTACTGACTGCCTAATTCTGTGTTTTCTTTGCCTGCACATGCAGTTTGCCCATGGTCTGAGAAGTCAAGGGCTTTGTGGCTCCTCCATCCTGTTGCACCCATATCTGTGAGCTGAGGCTTTACTGGCTCACAAGTTTTCACAGGTCTTGTAGGAACTTTATTACACCTTTATTTCTTGACTGAAGTGGGCCAAGGGGTTCAGGAGCCCGAGGGATGCTGTAGGGCCAGCTCTGAGCACTCCCTGATGCACCAGGAAGCTCTCCAGTGGAAATTTGTGGCAGTGACACAGCCGCTTCTGGTCCTCTGTGCCCCATAGACTTTGCTCCAAGCTTGTCCAAGGGCAGACGTGGCAGCATCACCTCTGAGCATGGCAAGTGGTGGGCATAGCCCCTTCGGCTGACTGGCCAATCTTGGCACAGCGGAGACTATGGATCCCAGAAAGGTCTTCCATCTCTCCAGGACTGGGCCATCTGCCACTGAAGCGAGTGCAGCCCACAATAGGCTTATTTGTACTCACTGGATTCATCAAGCCAAAGGGGGCCCTCCCCAACGCATCCACAGAGGTTAATACCTAGAAAAAAACTGCTTTCAGCTAAGGTCTTTGGAAGGCTTAATACACTGTTCTGTCTTCCCATCACAACTCTTATTGCATGAATTATAACTGAACAAAATAGGAATACTAATGCTGTTAGTAACATTACTTGCTGTTTATTTTGTTTATGTATTGTTTTTATATAATTATTAACAGTTTATGTAATTATTTTATTGCTATTCATAATACAAATATTTAAACAAAGCCACAACTAAAACAAAGAGCAATCAAGCCAAATTTCCAGTAGGGTTAACTTCTTTCAAAGCCAATTTCAGGGAAGAAAAAAAGATAATTAGCAGTCCAGCAAGGAGTTCCCTTCTTGCCTCTGCTGATGCAATTGGAGGCTGGTTTGTGCAAGCTCTGGCAGGCTGAAGCTGAGCTGGGGGCATTTCCATGCCTGCCTGTATCCGTGTAACCCCAGCAATGCTGCACAGTGCATAGTGCTGCTGCCCAGAACAGGCTCCCAGAAGATGCTGGGGTGACTTATCACTGAGGCCACTCAATAGATACAAGAACAGCTCTGAGAAATTAATTGTAGGAAAAATCCACCCTCTCGACTTGACTTATTAACCCTCCTGCACTGCATGGCCACAGGTCTTTCAAACAGATTCCACCCTGTTCGGTGGTGGGGCTTTATTGCTACCATGGGGTGTTGCCAAGTCAGCTGGTGACACTGCAGTCAGAAGGGCTTCCATAGCAGCAGGGGATACCCTGAGGTCCCTGTGCCCAGGGCCAGCAACTGTAGGACTGCAAGCACTGTAGCTTTGCAAGGGCAAGAGGTACTGCAGTGCAAATACTCCTTGGCAGAATAAAGGCACATATTTTCTAAAACAAATTCTTAAAGAAAAAGAAAATTATTGCAGTAGAAGAGCTGCAAATACTTTAGTATGCTCCAGTTTTCTAGCCTAAAGATTTAGCTAACAGAGTAACAGCAGTTCTTTGAAATCGGGTATATGCTTAGAAATATCTCACTGAGACAAGCCCTTCTGAGGGCTCATTTTCCCGCGTGGGAAATGCCAAAAGAACTAAGCACTTTCTGCAGGAGTATTTTTTTAAATAGACCTTTTGGACTTTCCTTGGTATTCCCTCAGTTAGCTGGGGCAAAATATC